GTACCAACAGTTTAAAGCAAAGGCAAGTCTTTGAGATAAAATGAGGTCTTATTTTCACATAAATTCACTTTCAATTGACTCAAAGGGAGGAAAAGTAGTCCAAAAGCGAGTGAATAATCTAAAAGAATTGATCGGAAAGTATGATATAGTAATCAATTGTATGGGCGTTGAGGCCAACAAATTCGGTGACGATAAGGGCGTGTATCCAATCCGGGGTCAGGTATACCGAGTGAATGCCCCGTGGATTAAACACGGAGTGATGGCCGGCGACCACTATATCCTTCTAAACAGTGAGACAGTGGTGTTGGGCGGCACCAAACAAAAGGGTGATTGGAATCGAGATGTTTATGTCAAAGACAGTGAAGATATAATGGATGGATGCGCTCAACTGGTGCCGAGTGTCAGAACCGCTCCAATCATGAGCGAATGGGTCGGTTTGAGACCCGGAAGAGATTCAGTTAGGCTCGAGACAGAAGTGATTAGCAATTGGGGTAAGAAATTGCATGTCGTCCACAACTATGGACACGGAGGGTCGGGCGTTACACTCTCGTATGGATGTGCTCTGGATGTCGTCAAAAATGTTAATCAAATTCTAGCCAAGAGTTTAAATTCAAAGTTATAAATATTGGTTTGAAATGTAACCTACGAATTATAAATAAATATAAATAATTAAAATGTTTCAAAATGAAAAATCATAATTATCACAATTTAAAAATAATTTGACAAATAAATACCAAAATTTGATTAAAATCTTGATCGCGGATAATACTACGGTAATAGGAACAAGGCACAGTTAATGATGTATAAAATACAGTGATTAATTCATTTTAAAAACTGTTCATTTATTTGACAACTGCTTTTTCAAGAGTACATTATTTTTTCAAATAATATTTAATTTATAGTTTAAAAGGTTAAACAATTGATGGGAGAATTCATGAATCGTAACAAATCACTAGTTTATGAGCAAATTAATGGAAAGTCACTTATTTACAAATCATTTATGATTACAATAATTTACAATTT